AAATGAAGAGGCATTTGTAATTGTCTGAATAGATGGATGTTAGCAGCAACATTTTTATTAGTAAATGACAGAGAAAAAAAATTAAAATGTTAATTTCAAAACCTTTTTTTTTATTATTAAGAAGTTTTTCAAAGTTTCATTTCAAGGTTCAATTTTTTCCCCAAAATTTCCATTTACAAAATGTATCCTTTTCTTACAGTAATAATGGAACAAAATTCACTCCATACAAGTGGGCAAAATGGAAGCACAGGATTAAGAAGAAAAGGCGATAAGGTGGATCACTGCTCGCCAAGGTGATGATGCAGGAAAGATGAGCTTTTTGTATCCCATGAGAAACCTAAAAGGGGGTCTGCCTGGACAAAAAAGGCATATGTCCAGTAGTAGATGAGGATAGAGCATCACCTCTGAGGTCTTTATCTATTTATAGCTGATGAGATGATATATATCGTCTCCTCCATTCCATCAATTTAAAGAAGGTTTGATAATGATTAAATCATAAAGCAATTCTACACCTCTCAATTTTTCCCTCTGAAAAGGCAGATCCAGACGACGCCCTAGTTCATAAATAATTTAACTGAAAATCTATGAAGGTGTTGATAAAAAATGGACAACGGTTCACGACAAAGCTCCATCCTGTAAAATAGATTAATCTGCTCCTTTTTAGAAATATTGAAACAAGATCTGCTACAGTTTACTGCGTTCACTCATCAGGATCTCCATATGTGCAGTTATTTACTATTGAAAATTACTATCTAGGTGCAATACTTGTTTCATATAACTTTTTCTGCGCTTTTTCAAATTTTGCCAACTTTAAATTGATTCATGCACTCTCATCTTTTTGTGGAAAGCTGAATTTAAACTTAACGATCAAGCTAATAAATCTCAAAGTGAGTGTTGGGGACCTAATGATGAAAAAGAAGGATAAAAGTTTATTAAAATATGGATTTTAATGAAAATAGAATTATTTTTTTTTCTATTAGCAAAGAAATTGACTTCAAATGGTACAAAAAGATCAATTTGTTTTATTTTGTTTGTTGTTTTGTTAATGTTTCTGTATTTCTATTCTTGTTAAATCATTTATGTTTACATCAATGTCCTGGTAATGTCTTAGAACCTTTACTGGTGTGCAATACAAAGCCAGAATATTCAGGTATTCAGGTAGTTTAGCACACTCATTGTTTAAACAGTAACTTTTCTGTACTTCAACACACCCACCAGAAAAATCTATTACGTCTCGAAAAAGACCTTTGGAGTCTATGTGACAAGAAAAGTCCCAGGAATCCTAAAATTAAAATGTAAAATACTGAGCCTAAATGTTTAAAATAAGCTGTAAAGGAAAAATTAAACAAGCAAAGTCGCCATTAAAGTCTTGATTTACTGCCCACTTTACTAGTGACAGTTTAATCTGAACATTGGAGATATGACGTGTTTTCAATGAAAAGTAAAAGGTCAAAACTTAAACTGGTTTCCATATTGTTTAACATAATATTAAAGGAAAACAAAGGAGGCAGCAGGTCAGAGTTTGGATGCAATTTGGGAATATTTGTAACACGTAAACAAGTGAAGTACACAGTCAGGCCAGTGGTGTTTCAGGTCGCGCAAACACTAATAATTACGGTAGTAACGTCTGAGCTTATGTTTCAAAATAAGAACATTACTTTTGACATATCTATAATTTTTTTTCTTCTTTTTTAAAGTATTAACTGAAAACAAGTACTTTTACAGCAATAATGACGTCAACTTATGTCAAATTGACTCGGTGTAGAGAGTTTGTGGGGCTTTAATTTTGAAATTCCACATCAGACGTGGATGCACCTCACCTCCAGATGAAAGTCGCATCTGGAGGTGGATCTACTGTAATAGTAAAATTGAAGCATTCACTGAAAACGTATAGTTTAGCAGCTTAACTGATGGCAACTTAGTTTGAAGTGAGTGAGTGTGGAGATATTAGGGGCTTTAATTTTGAAAATTCACATCGATTCCACATCTGTTACCTTAAAGTTAAAGTAGTCCGGTGAAAAAAAACATTTCTAATATTAGATTATAATATATTTACTGTCAGAACACAAGAAAAAATAACATATAGGTTAAGAAATTCTTAATCAACTAAGGCCAAAAGAGTAAAAAAGCGCAGGGTAACTTACTACCGTAATTATTAATGTACGCGCGACCTAAAGAATCGCGTGAGAGCTGAATAGACTGTCGATTCCGAAGTAGATGCTGGTTTGATCGTGGTCGCCTTAAATCAAGTCAAATGTCCACCTGCTACTGGAATTATAATAGTAATAATAAAGTAGGTGAATTTCAACGACTATGTGTGAAACTGAAAGCACATCCCAAGCTAGCTAGCGTCGGTTTGATAGTTACAGACCTGTGGTGGTTCCAGTAGTGCTGAATCAATTCTCCAAATGTAAAGTGGTCCGCCGACAGAATCCCGTTAAAAAGTCTAAAATAAGTCTATGTACAACAACAGGAAAGATACACAAGAAGCGGAATGAAACAACTGGTGTTAATTTCCTGATATTTCCCCCCAGTCGATTAGTTGTACTGCCTGGTTAGCCGCTAACGCTGTTCTAATGAATTATATAACCGCTCGTAGTCGGAGTCATCACTTCCGGAATCATTTTTCAAAATAAAATACAGTTTAGAGCGTTCAACGAGCAGT